GGGGGGAGGGGGAAGGGTACTGTGGTCACTGTACCCCTCTGGCTATCAGATGAAGTAATGAACTGACCACTGAGATACAGAAGGCTTCCTGCTACACATTGGAGGGTGTGTCAGAGTCCTTATTCCCCCTTTTATTACAGAACTGTGCCCACTGGTACAGGACTGTTCCTCTGGTGAAGAACTGCTCCTCTATTCAGATGCAATACAAAGAACTGTGCCCACTGCAGCACCGATAGCAACATGCATGTAAGGTGGAGGACAAGCAGGAAGTGGCAATCAAGAATACCGCAATGCTTTACTAAAGCTAATAAGTTATATATATTTTACAATGTCTTTGCGCGCCAATCGAATAGCAAATCGTCGTCATCATCATCGTCATCTTCCGACTCTGAGGAAGAGCCAGATTTTGCATTTCCCTGTCCCGATGTGCCATTCTCCCGACCACCTAACTTGTCTAAATGCTGCCGCGCTTTCTCTTCCTTGGCCTTTTTCAAAGCTGCCATCCGCTCCAGGAATGACCTGCAAGGACCACACGCACCAAAAGACAGAAAACCACAAACACAAAAGAAAAAAACAAGCAGACCATATCAAGAGATGACCTCCGCGCGAAAAGAGAATTGCTTGTACACCTAGGCTACCAGCCGGGCCGCCCGGGTCTCGGGTGGCCAGCCCGTGCAAGGACCAGGAAGGTCCCATTAAAAACCAAAAAAAAAACCAAAAAAAAAACCAAAAAAAAAACCAAAAAAAAAAAAGACCATGTTATGCAGAAAAGAAAACTAAACAACTTTTGCCTCAGGGTCAGATCGAAATTCTTCACCAAATTAAAAATAATAAATAAAAATTAAAACTATCTTTTATATTTTATTTTATTTTTAATTATTTTTGCCCGGCCGGGAAAGTGACCCCGGGCCAGTCTGGTAGCCTAGTTGTACACACACACACACACACACACAAAAAAAAAAAAAAAAAAAAAGAAGAAGAAGACTACCACCACATTCTCTCTCTAAGGTCTGTCGGCAAGGGTAAGACCACTGGAACGGTACCTACCATCTTCCCCCAAACACAATGCACCCTCATTTTGACTGTATCGGGCCGGAAACATACCTTGTATACGTTCATTTTCAGGTCGCGTTATGTTCGGGGTAAGACGGAGGTTTCCAAGCAGGGCAGGGAAACTCAAGGCAGCCTGCACACGCGGACAAGGCTAGAAACATCCATAGCTTATGTCTCATCTTAGTGAATGCCTGGGCCAAACGCATCGACCAAAAGCCAGAGGAAAGTGTGGCCAGACTTGAAACTCGAAAGTCCTTGAGCACTTTAGGGTTTAGGGTTCACAAGGTAGGGTTGCCCAGTTCCAGTATGATGTAGGCTTCAAGGTGGAGACCTGGGGATTACACTGCTAAACTCAGGGGACGCACTGTTTACGCTGCAGAGCTGCACAGCTGCACAGCTCAGGGTTCGGGTATAGGGCATACAGACTGGATGGCCTATCCTCAACAACTCGATGGTCGTAGCCAGTGTGATGGCTCTACTCCATCGAGCTGCAGGCAGCAAGCAGCACGCATGCTCTATCCTCTGGGTTCAGCCTCTCCCAGGAACACCACCATCTGAGTTCATTTTGGGTTCATTTTGGATTAGCTCTGGGTTAGTTATGGGTTAGTTCTGGGGTAATTCCTAGACCCCACCACCATCTGCATTTTTTCTGGGTTAATTCTGGGTTAATTCTCGGGCTAATTCTGGGTTAATTCACAGAGAGAGAGAGAGAGAGAGAGAGAGAGAGAGAGAGAGAGAGAGAGAGAGAGAGAGAGAGAGAGAGAGAGAGAGAGAGAGAGAGAAAAAACTCACAACACTGCTGCGTGTGACTTTTTTACTATGGTCCCCAGAGAGAGAGAGAGAGAGAGAGAGAGAGAGAGAGAGAGAGAGAGAGAGAGAGAGAGAGAGAGAGAGAGAGAGAGAGAGAGAGAGAGAGAGAGAGAGAGTAATGCATATAACAAACACACAAGAAGAGAAGACCTCGCAACATCTGCTATCCAGATCACTAACTAGGTTTGCAATTTCGCTGCCGTTGGCCGATTATGTACCTAGTCAAGCGCAGATTGCTTTCTTTTTGTACTGCTACTCTGGGCTGCTGAAATTGACCTCTGCTGAAACAGCCCAGGAAATATCCTTCTACTCTGAACACCAGGCCCACCAATGCTATGTTCGTTATTAAGTCGTCAGCAAGTTGATGGATAGCTTAAGGTTCACTGCACATTACCGTCTTCACACGAATAGAAGGAACGGTCGTTATCGGTGTATCGAAGAAGACTAAATGTTGCCCCCAAATACAGCTATAATGACCATACGTTCTATTCGGGGAACGAAGGTAGTCAGAGACTTCGCTCCAGATCCATGCATCTACCAGGCTATCTGGTGCTCATTCAGAGACCGTCCATGCCACCACAGGAGCTGAGCTGTGCAGGCCTCGGAATAAAGGTGCAGCCAGCAGGGCAAGCAGCTCCATCCCATAACCAAACCATCAGGTCCTCGATCACGAACGTCTCTGTCATTCCAGAGCCAGTCAAGCTCCACCCAAGAAAACCCGTTCCATCCTCCCAACCTAACCTTGCCAGCTCATCCTCCCCCCTCTCCTCCTCCTCCTCCTCCTCCTCCTCCTCCTCCTCCTCTTCCCGATAAGATCCTGTGAGTGTCTGCAGGTCCGAAAGGACTGAAATGGCATCCTTCTGTGAGTCGAAACCATGACCAGAGAGGTAACCTCTATGTGTTGTGTTGCTATATCCTGCTCAGGGGAGACCCACAGTCGGTACTGTCGGCCCCTTATACGTACATCAGCAGATTTCCACCCCACCCCTCAAAATGTGAAGCGGTGCCCAGAGGTTTTACTCCTGACACCGCACATGCACATACGTTAGCAGTCCATTGTTCTATTCCCTAGTGATCCTGAGATGTGCACACAACAAAGCTCATTAGACTATATTTTCGACCTTTGGTGGCGCATTCTTGTGTAAACAGTGACGAACTGGATCACTGTCCTGTAAAGATTTAATCCTGTTTTTTTTGTCACTTACCTGTGTTCCAACTCCTCTCTCTCTTCTCTCTCCTCGGCCGCAACAAACTGTCAAGTGCAACAACAACAAGGCCAAGTGCAGTGTACAAACAGATCAGAAATTCAGAATCCATTCAGCTCGGCAGCGCATACTCGCACGCTACTCACTAGGACTTTCTCAGCTGATTTTTTTTTGT